CTAGGACGGATAGGAAACTTAGGAGGGAAGAAACGGGAAGAACTGGGAAAATATCGGAGAGAGAGACTAGCAAACAGCCTAGGGAAAATATCGGAGAGAAAGACTAGCAAACAGCCTAGGGAAAAGCCGGACGAAAAAGGTGCCAGAAGAAGCTATTGAAAGCCTAGGCATAGACTCGGATACGGACTACGGGGGGAAGCTGGGAGAAATCTCTAAGGTCGAAAGCGAAAGTGAAAGCTAGAACAAACAGACTCGGATGCGGACTGTGGGGAGAGGCCAGGGGAAATGAGGGAGGAGTATTGTTGGAGGAAAGCTTGGGGAAACATACCGGGTAGAGAAAAATGTTAGGGAAATTGAAGCCGCGGGGGGGCAGGCCAAGGCGGAAACGAAAGCCACTTTGGGATTCTCAAGTTAGCCTGGGAATAAGGGGCGAAAAGTTGAAACCAGAAGCTGAAACGTAAGCCTGGTTGGGATCCGTCTGATTAGCCCGGGGAGCAAAGGACGGGAAGCCAAACCGTGGGGCGGAGACGTATGCTGGGTTGAATTCGTCAGGCTAGCCCGGGGAACTTAGATTGAATGCTAGTGGCGGACACGTAAGCTACGCTGTGTGACTCGCGGAGGCTGCCGCGCGCAGACAGAGCGTGCGGGGCTCAAGTACATAGGGAACGCGGGGCTGGCGCGAGGCCGTGGTTCAGACGCGAAAGGGTTAAGTGCGAGACCGCGGAGTGTGCGCGCAAAGCCAAGCAGCTCAGATGAGAGAGACGCGGGCTGAAGCGGCTCAGCCGGAAAGCCGCGGAGAAATAGCCTCGGGGCGGAGCCTGCCGGCAGGGCGAGGCGCCGGGAAGCTGCGGGGATAAGAGAAACAGAAGTTTAGAAGTAAAATGAGAGAAATAGGAATGCTGGAAGATAGAAGTAAAATGGAAGAAATAGGAATGCCCGGAGATAGAGAAATAGAGAAATAGAAAGGCCTCCCCTCAACATGGCAGTGAGAGAGCTTGGATTCGGTCTGCCTGATTAAGTGAGGCGATGAGCACCTGCGGCGGCTAGCAGCTTATGCGCCGCAGGTCACCGAAGACAGGCACGAATTAACATCAGTAAGGCCTCCCCACAATACAACAATTAGGAGGCTTGGATTCGGTCTGCCTGATTAAGGCGGTAAGCACCAGCAAGCAGCTCGACCAGAGTATGAGCTGCAGGTCACCGAAGATAGGCACGAACCAACACTAATAAGTCTCCCCCACAATACGGCAATGAGAAAGCTTGGATTCAGTCTGCCTGATTAAGGCGGTAAGCGCCAGCAGGCGGCTCGACCAGAGTATGAGCCGCAGGTCACCGAACACAGGCACGCATCAGCGCCTAAAAACCTCCTCACAACATGGCGAAGAGAGGACCCGGATTCGGTTTGCCTGATTGATAGGACTTGTAAGAACCTGTGGCAACTCTAGCAAGTAGAGCAGAGTGTGTGCCGCGGGACACCGAAGACAGGCGCGTATCAACGCCAAAAAATAAAAAGAAAGGGGGATCTGTGGGGAGCAGACCGGACTGGACTGAGTTACTGGAATTAAGACTTATTCTATGCATCTGCTCTCCCACAATATGGCGCTGGGAGAGAAGTAAACAGCTTCCTCACAGCTGCCTCCAGTTCAACCAATAAACTGTAGGACTTGCTACTGATTGGAGGAGAGCAGCGTACTCGGCGTGTGGGCAGCCGAGTTGGGATTGGCGGAGGAGGACTGTAAAGGAGGAGAGAGACGGCATGCACCAGGGAACATCTAAGGGGAACATCTAGCTGAAGGAACACCTGTGCAGCCCCCCGAGAGAGCCGGCCGGCGGTGTGCCGCTCCCCTGCGGAAGTGGGGAATGTGGCCAGGGGGAACTGCCCTTCCACGGAGGTGGAAGGGATAGTAGCCAACCCGGGAAGAACCAGCAGCAAACCCGGGGAGGGCCGAGCAGACGAAAGAACAGCGCAGGGTCCTGTGTTGCTCCTCCACGAAGAGGGGGAGCGACATTAAGGATATGTATCAAGAGCCTCAAAAATATCTCCAAATTTTGATTATGTTTTTGGGAATCTTTTCTATGGATGCCATCAGAAACACTAACAAATACTTATGCAGAATAAACACATTACAGCAGGATTTATAATGCCCGATACCTAATCAATGCACGATAAGAAGATAGTTAACTGTGGTCCAGTATGATCATACTATACAGCCACTCCACTGAAATCTGTGGAGACATTTTAATGCTAACGTTGAAGAACCATGGAAACTTTCTAATTGTTACACAGGGGGCTCCAAATATGCCTTTCCCTACAGCTGCTTCACAGAATATTGATAGGAATATTATCAATACTAGGTTCCATTTTTCAGTAAGGTTGAAAAGCTGTTGGAGTTTGCAGCTGCTGAAGGCTGTGGACATGGCCCATGAAGATGGGAAATCCTACCCCCCAAAAGAGAAGCCCGGGGTATAGGGCCACTGGTTTTTCTGGGGGGCATCACAGCTAGCGAGAGAAAGCCTGGTGGGAAATGTGATGCTGAGAGGCCCACTGCGGCTGTGGAGCTCTGGGATGATTTCACTTCCCCGGAAAGGGTTTGCATTGTCCTACAAAGCTGTCAAGTGTCGTGAAAGAAAGGAAGGCAGAGGACCGTCCTCCACCTGCTCCGGCAGCTACGGAGCCCACTGAAGCCTGGCGTGGGCATGCCTTTGACACTGAGAGGGCGGGGAGAGGGGCCAGGATGGGGAGCTGCCTGGTCCCTGCTCTGCCTCAGGGATACAGCAGGAGGCACCACACCATCACCACTCCCTCCTGACCCTGGGCTGGCCAGAGGTTCCCAGATGCTTCTGAAACACCCCCAGGACGTCACCCATATTCCAGGTTGCCCTGCTGCTACCTGCCCTTGCTCACCAACCACCTCCATGGTGCTCTGGCCTCCCGGGTTGTGTGCTTCATTCAGTTCCTCTCCAAGGTTTCCCACCCTTCCATGTGCCCTGGATCTTCAGGGCTTCCTCTGTGCCCCACTCCAGTTGCAGGCCCAGCTCAAGAGCCCTGTTTTGGGCCAAGGTGCCAAGCAGTTGACGGGTATACACTGAGTCAGGGTCCCTGAGTCGGTGAAGCCAGCCTGTGCCCTCCTGCTTACTGTCCGAAGGCCCTGAAATATTCATCAGGCTTTATCAGGCTAATGGGCTTCAAAAGAAGCAATTTTCTGAGACATGAGAGAGGACAATATAAAAAGAACATTAAGGGAAAAATTCTTATTCCAAAATGAAAGAGAGAAGATCATTTAGCATCCCTGTTGGTGTTATCTATTCATGAGAAACAGCACACTGGATCCGGAGTGGGATGGGATGGGTGGGGGGGCTTTGATGTCCTCACCTCAGGGTCACCTTCATGCAAACAGCATCTGTCTCCCTGCCGCCCATGTCAGGGGCAAGGGAGGGAGAGCATGTGCGTGAGGGACTTTACCGCGGTGGACCTCGTGCAGTGCAGGGGCTGGAGCAGGAGAGAGTGGGAGAGGGAGAGTCAACACAGGGCACCAGGCTCCTATCTGGCTTCCTTTATGCCTCCGGCCTCCCTTCCCGAGATGGTCTTGGTCTGGTCATGTTGCGTGCGGCCAGCCCCTGGAGGGCAGCAGCCGTGACTCGCCCTAGTCCTCTGCATAACTACTCACCTGGTGAGGTTCACCAAGGTTGGGGTTGTTTCCCAGCCCTGACACCGGAGTCCTGTGTACAAGGCTGTGCGGGGGTGTGTGTGCGGGAGTCCAGGCCAGGAGAGCCTATCTGTGCCTGCCCTGCCTCCCATGTGCACCAAGACGGGGTGAAGCTGAACCCGCAAGGGCGGACTTATCTCCCTGGGAATTTGTTTGGCTTGAGTGGAAAGGCCATGGGGTTACACCGGCTTCACAGAAGCCTCACAGCGGGGGTAGGGAGCCTTTTTCTGCTGAGGGCCAGTTGGGTATTTGTAACATCTTCCGGCCCTACAAAACTATCAACTTAACAATTGGCCTGCTGTACACTGATGGGATTTGGAGTCTAACTGTCGTTGCCTTGGCAGAGCAAGACCAAATAATTTTGCAGACCTCACGTGGCCCATGGCCCAGACACTCCCCACCCCTGCAAGTATGAACAAAAGAATTGGGACTTCTGGTTCTTCCACGTCTCCTCCTTCTTCCTCTTCCTTCGTGCATTGCACTCTCTCCCCCTTTCTAACTTCTGATTCTCTTCTTGTTCATCAACTCCTTTCCCTGTCCCCTCCCCTCCCCTCTGTCTTCATCTTTATTCCCACTTTCAAATTAGCACTGTCTTCTTGCCCTCCCAGCTAGTCTTAAACTTAGAGAAATAACTTCAATCAAACCTTTGTTCTCTACTAATGAACTAAGAAGTTTCATACAAAGCAATTTAAGCCGATGCTCCCACCTGGCCACCCAACATTGGCCAGCCTACATAGCTGCTAATTGTGTGACTGAGATGATCTTCCCACAGTCACGACAGCCATCAGCCCTCAGTTCTATATCCAACCACAGACGGAGAATATTCTGTAAATGAATCTGCGCTAAACACATATAGACTTTTTTTCTTGTCTTTGTACCCCAAACAATCCAGTGTAGCAACTATTTACATAGAGTTTCCATTGCATTAGCTATTATAAGTGATCTAGAGGTGGTGATTTAAAAGTGTGTGGTAGGATGTGCACAGGTTATATGCAAATACAGCCCCATTTCATATCAAGGAGGGGAGCATCCACACATTGTGGTACCTTTAGGGGGGTCCTGAGGACAACTAGAGTTGTCTGATTGTTGGATTCTCCGGGGCTCCTTTCTCATCATTTGACAACAAGCTTCTGTAACCTCAGTGTTTGTCAACCGTGGTATATTCCTGAGTGCTTTGTGATAAAAATTGTTGAGCCCAAAATGTCCCCTCCCCCTTTCCTAATTAAAATAAGAATTTGTTTGGTGTTGTATTACATATTCAATTTTAAGTTTGCTTCTCTTCTTTTTCATTAGATTTGTGACAAAGAGTGGCATTACTATGTCATCAATGTCGAGTTTCCTGTGGTCACCTTATACATGGACGGAGCAACATATGAACCATACCTGGTGACCAACGACTGGCCCATTCATCCATCCCACATAGCCATGCAGCTTACAGTCGGTGCTTGTTGGCAAGGTAACCCCAGCTGGAGCCTTCTCTCTGGCCCCCAAAAGACCCTAAGGGTGAGACAGGGAGAGCAAGTGGTGCGCGAGTTTTCCAGAAAACAATGTACTAGATTTTACTGATCAAACAGAACTTACAAAAAAATTAGTATTCACGGCTGCACTAAATCTGATTTTAGATCAACACAAGCAGTTCCACAGTTGCCTCTGAGTTGCTAATGTCTTGTCGTTCTGACGTCTTACCTGGTTCCAAACTGGGGCTGTATGGAGACGAAGCTGAATGTAGAATCTTCTCTCCAAGCTTCCAGTTGACTCTGCTGAGCGCTGGGCTGATCTGGAGTCAGGGATCTCCCTTTATCCCCATACGAGTTCCGGGCTGTGGGAGGCAGCCTGTCCAAACTATGAAGCCACGGGGAGCCACTCTCCAGGTCAGCTCAGCCCTGCACCCCGTCGCTGGTCTCTGGGAATAGAAGCCCTTTATTGCCTTCCCACCGGGAGGTCTGTGGTCCCTTCTGACTTCCTGAGCAGCTGCCTCTCTCCCAGGCCCAGGCCAGGCTCCTCTGTGGAACCAGGAAAAGCAGCTCTCCAGGCAAGGATGTGACCTGTGTCACTCACTCGGGTCTGCCAGAGTCTTTGTTTCTGCTTCCTTGGGGGCAGGGGTGCTTTCAAGGAAAAAGAAAACCCTCCCCAAATAAGCAGGTGAGTGTGTTGAGATATGACCCAACCTTGTGCTGCTGGGTTCTGTGAAGTTTAGCAATGTTTGTGGCTAAGGATGGATAGTTCGTCACGGAGAGCTGCGGGGAGAGGTGAGAAACAAAGAGTCGAGGGAAGATACAGGGGTGAGGACCTGCTGTCCGAGTGAGCTGAGAGTGATGAAGACTGAGTGCTGGGGAAGCCCCATACCCAGAGCGTGGGGAGAAGAGCATATGGGGTCACCTGGGAGCAGTATGGATGCAAAACCCAGAAGGTCAAGCATGAAAGAGGTAAGGGAGCAGAAGGTGCTTTGGAGTGAAGGCCACCAGCTTGATGCCTGGCATGTGACACATTTCAGTAGAACTTGGTGGTGAGAGGTTCTTCAGTGTGGCAGGCTTCCCCAGGATATCGGGAAGGAGTTTGTGTCACCTGGCAAGCGTCCACCCAGGGATTAGCATGGCAGGGCACCAATTCAGAGGTTGCACAGGAATCATTAGCCACTGGGCATGGCTGTGCTAGAGTAACGGCCCTCTGGTGTGGCTCTGTGTCCTAGCTGAATGCTGTCACCAGCTGTGGCTATTACTGAACATAGCCTGGAGAATGGCCATAAGAGGTCTCTGGCCCGTGTCCCCCTTGTAAAGAATTAAGACAATGGCTTTGAATCAGCTAGACTAGATTAAGCTGTGCTTCAGTGACAAGCAAAGCTCACCTCTCAGTTACTCAGAAGAATTCTCACGTCGTATTCACTGCTGTGCTTGTTCATGAGCTTGAGGACACAAGCTGACACACAGCCGCAGGGCTGGGCCCCTGCAAAGAGGAAGCGAGAGTGTGGCCATGTGTGCCCAAGTTCCCAACGCTTCCACCTATACAAGTGATGCCGTCACTTTTAATTCACTTTTGTTGGCTAAAGAAAATCACACAACCACACTTAACTCCAACAGGGTGGGAAGTGGAATTGTTCCAGAATATTTATGGAAGAAAACCTGAAACTATCTGATGAACAACACAGTCTGTCTACCTGGTCAACAGAGATACATCTGACTCTCCTTCCATGTAAAAAGAATGTCCACCCTCCTCTAGAAGAGACAGCACGAAAGTGCCACCTGCTACAGGTTCCAGCCTCAATGTCTAACATCTCAGAGGCTCCATAGGAGGTCCAGCAGTGGCTGATCTGACAACTGTGTGTTTATAGGACAAATCACTTGCCATGACCACAGTCACCAACCACCACCATGTCCAACACCACCAACACTCACTCACACACACACACACAGCACTATACAACAATGGAATGAGGTAGAACAACCGACTAACCCTTGCACTAAGAAAGGAAGAATTAGAGAAATGTGACCATGTTTAGTCCATAGGGAGTCTGAAATCCCTTAGGCACGTGCTGTAGGTGGGGTCTTCTGCGTGGCCTTGGTTGTGTCCATTGAGATACATTTCTTCTCTAGTGTCCCTTCGGGCTGCTACTGAGGAGGGCATGGTCACTCCATAAAGAACAACTCGAATACCAGGGTGCTTCAGAAAGTTCAGGAAAAGTAGAATCAAAAGATAAGTTTACTTTGGTGTAAAAATGTTTGAAATTTCTGCATGTTTTCCATTAAGTAGTCTCTCCATTTTTTGAAGACTGCTCATATGTATGGATTTCAAGGATTTTTTGAACCAAAATCAACTTAAGTCCTTTTTCCACAAACTATTTTAAAGTACTCTCTTATTATATCTGATCACAATTTATTTAAAAGCCATTCAACAAAAATGATTGCAAACAGGACACTCATGTGTGTGTTTATTTTTAAGGAATGTGGTAGACAAGGTAAATACTATGGTGTTTGGCAAGTATTTCTGGCCTTCTTGCCGAATGGATGCCAGGGCTGCTCTCGCTCCGAATTAGATGTGCTCATCTGACTTGCTTGGAACACTGGAGTGCGAGTGAGTGGAAGGACCTTATATCATTCCCTGGTGGAAACTCAGCAGCCAGTGTCGGAAGGAGGCCCTTGATATAGTTGGGGTGGAGGTGGGGGGGCGGAGGGTAGACAGTTAACAGTTCAGTGAAAAATTGGTGTTAGTCCCAATCTGTGGATGAGGAAACTGAGGCTCTGAGGGGGGCAGACGCTTGCCCCATGCTGTGCCCTCTCGCTGTGGCCACTGCCCCCTGCTGTTTGTTGGCCACTTTGCTGACGCGATCCTGTGTTTGGGATGATGTGGATGGATGCAGATGCTGCCAACTCTTGGCCTCCTGCGACAGATGACAGTCTTCTGATGAACTCCCATGGGAACACTCCGCTCCCCTGGCTGATCCCTTACTATCCACTCCCTGAAGTGACGCACCCCAGGGAACTATGAGAATGAGTTTAGACTTTAGAGTCAGAGAAATCTGAGTTCGGGTCAAATCCCCGCCCTGCCACTCACCAGCTGTGTGGACCCCTCAGGGTCCTTCCCTGAGCTTCTCTTCTTATCTGTAAATAAGAGGGGGCCCTACCTCAGGGGGTTATCCTAAGGATTAGGTGCCTGGCACATCATGTGTGTGGCATCTTTTACTTGAACGAGTGCGTGGGTTTTAAAGCATCTGCTGTCGCCTCCTGCACCTCTTTCCCTGTTCCTCCACCTAACCCAACACTGCAGGCCATGTGTAAGCCCTGGGCACGCTCTAGCAAGTGGTCCTGTGTTCCCGTGGCTCTGGGCATGCACTGACTTCTCACCTTTCCTAGGACCGACCCTCCTGCCCAGATGTCTATCGTGAGGCAGGTAAAATGAGCCACTCTGGCTGCAGCTAGGGAGAGGCACTGAAGGGTGACGTGAAGGTGGGGAATAGGCCCGTGGAAGACACGTGTTAGGAGATGGGACTTGAGACACAGGCACGAACCTCATCGAGCAGTCTTTAGGGCCGTGGAGAAGACTCGAGTATTCTCCCTGAGAGAAAGGACAAACCTTTGATGAAATTTCAGCAGGAAAAACACTCAGTGTCTTTCAGGTGGGCTTAGTAAAATGAGCAGGAGTTCGTGAGGAAGGGAAGGGAGGTAGCAGTGTATGCTGAGGTAGGGGGGTGGCATAGGCTGCTTAGGGCTCCCCAGAAATGGAGCATATATGGAGCAGAAGGAGTAGAGAAGAGGCTGGGGAGAGGAGGAGAGACCAAACCCTGGGACCCCACACTGCCTTGTTAAGGGTTCCCATGCACACTCATATCTTCATTGGAACCACACTTTTTCTGGGGTGGACACATGCATTCTTCAGTAGACCACAGTGCTGTGAAATCAGTGGCCTATGGTACAGCCCCTTGCCTCTGCATGTATGTAAACCTTCTGAGGTCCAGCGCTATGCATCACATGCACCTCTGTGTGACTCTAACTGCCTTTGGGACTGCAGCTGTGGGGTGCTTTTCAGGTGCTTTGGAGGTTGGCAAGGGAACTAGTTGTCATTTGTGAAATTTCCAATCAGGGCTGAACAATGGGAAAAGAAAATGATAGGATGGCAGCTGCTGGCTGAGTTCTCCTGGGAACTGGTGCCAGAACTGTTGCTGGGCAGTGTCTGCAGCCCCAATTAGCCTACTGTGTCCTGTTAGTGAATTTGAAAGCCAGTGTAATCAATGGAATTTCATTTCCATTAGTATCTTTTCCAGTAATTAGAAAAATGAGACTTCATTTACACTTAAGAAACGTTGCCAGTGAGGCCCAGAGCCTGTAGCATCTCATAATTGTAGGGAAGAGCCTTTGCAGCCAGGAGACGTGTGGCATCATGAGCGTGGCCAGCGCTCACAGTCTTGCTATCATTGCCCGGTCCTGGGAGGCGCTGTGCTCTCAGGGTGGAGTCCATGTCGTCTCCTGGCCATGCTCATTCTGGGCTGGCCCAGCCACTGGTACCTTTACAAATGCCAGCTTCTTTGTTTCTCAGTGGGTCACAGCCTGGGAGAAGTAGATTTCAGAGATGAAGTTAATTCATCCTTTATCTTAGAATTTCCTACTGATTTGTTCTCATTTCTGTGAACAAAAGAAAAATTTCTACTCCTAAAAAACAAGAATTAGATACTCACATCTGCTTCATTCTCAGACCTCTAAACCGGGCCTTCCCACCCAGACTCTGTGACCTGACTGTGCACAGGCGTGCATCAGCTAAGGCTGGAGAGAGTGCAGACCAGGGCCTCAGGGAGCCCTGGGGCTTCTGGGAGATGCTCAACACGTAGCAGTCTGGCCTCTCCCCAGGCTACAACCAGAGCGGCTCATTTTACCTGCTTCACAGTAGACATGTGGGCAGGAGTTCTTTTAATGCAATGGCTAAACCTGCTGAAAACACAGCTCTGGGCACCTGTTTGAGAAGCTATGT